TTCACCATTTTGGTTGCCCTCCTCCTCTAGTTTACCACATTTTAGTTTTCAAGCCCTGTTGTGACCTTGGTTAGTTCTGCCACAGCATCTCTTCCTTGGGCCTCTCATTAGCTCACAGCTTTCCTAATTAGACACAGCTTCCAGCTCCTGCTCTATAAAAATGAAAACCAGCACCCACAGACCACACAACTGTGGTAGTTGAGATGTCTACCAGTTCCCAAGAGAAGCCCTCACCTCCTTGCATAAACCACTATATACTTTTAATCACTGGTTTAGCAAGGCTTCTGAAACACTGAGAAGTCAATCCTCTTTTTTTAGAGGCCTTTGCAGTGGAAGGCTGTGTGTGTCGCAGATAAGAAATACACGGAGACCACTATATGGAAGAAAAAAGGCCAAAACTTTATTAAATACAGCTGACAGATGGGATTGGCCCAAGGTATGGGTCAGGATCTGGCATTGACCAACCCAACTGCTAATCTATGAACCCCGTCTCCCAGTGATGCCTGGGCCCAAGGATGACAAGGGGTCACTGGATGTCCACACTTAGCCCCTTGTCACTGGGGGATACTGATAAGGAATTCACCCCTGCATTGGCAACTCCTTCTCCATCCCAGCACCCTTGAGTCCCCATGGAACTCTCGATAAACTGTGCTCTGCAGCACAGATAGACATGCCCCCAGATCCCAGACTCATGCTACCACCCCCTGGAAAGCTGTGACAGCAACCCATGCAACCTTCTTTCCAGGAGTAACCAAGGGAGGGAGGGTGGGGAGATCCAAGCCAGAATGGCAACCAGTACCCAGCCATGTGGCCCCTAACAACCAATCAGCAAAGGGCTGGAAATTCTGCATCTTCCAGCCAACCCAGCCAATGAGAGGGCTGGAAGTCCTGACTCTTCTGGTGGCCAGACAATCAGGTCCCACTTCCAGCTCCCATGCTGGGAGTTGTAGTCTGCACTAGATTCAGAAGTTCCACCTGTCTGTGGCCCTGGCAGCCCCAGTGGCTTCTGAGTAGGTGCCCAGGCTGGGAGCTGGGGCCAGGAGCCAGGGCAGCTCCCCAGCCCCCCCCAACCCAAGCTGCAAATTGGCTGGCCTAGTGAGTCAGGTGGCCACACTTGTGCCAAGTCCTCCTCTTGGATATTGTCATGGCTCTCACCTCCGTCCCACTGTGATTACGAATGGCAGACCTGGCCTAAGTCATATAGGATAGTCAGGACAGACACTGACAGTTTTTAAAAGAAACCATGGGATTTACATGACTGGTTGCTACTGATGCCCCTAGTAACTAATTTTGTTTTTGGCTCCTTCTTTTTGTAATTTTAAAATTGTTTTCCATACCATGATACTTTCCAGATGTGTTGAATTAAATATGCTACCAGCTGGTAGTCTGAGATGCAGCAAAGCGTCACCTCCCACAAGCATCTTTAGTGAAAACTTCACAGAAACCTTCCTGTGAAAGCTGGAGTGAAACAAATGGTAGCTGCATAAAGAAAATGTGCAGAGAAACAAATTGGGGTCACATTTCCATAGGACTTCTTCAGACCTTTCTGACCACAACATATAATCTTGAAACAGGACATTATAATAAACTGGTTTGTCCCCTATTTCATGTTGTCATTAATGTAAAGGGCAATGTAACAACTATGGCTACTTTTATGGAAGGATTAGATCAATATCTTTTCTGATAGATGAAAATATCTTTTCTGTTAAATGATTCTGATTTGTAAACTTTTCTGTTTGAAAAGACTCTTGCGCAGGAACTAACTAAAGTCAATGGTTATCAATTAAGCTGGAATTTTTCGAACTATCAGTTCATGTATTAAACTCAAGTGATTAACCCAAGTGGGAATGTCACTATTAACTTGGTCCTACAATTAATTAATCAATTAATTAATTAATTAAATGACAGTGCTAAAGAGCCAACATTGGTTTCCATTTCCCCAATGATCATTCAGCCAAAACCTAATTCTTTTGAATTTTTGCCAAATCTCTCCACACACATTGATTTTTGTTCTCTTGCTATTTCTTAGTCCTCCAGGGTTGACACAGGATCCCACCAAATTCATGATTACAAGTTAGTTAAATCAAAGTTACTTTTTAAAAAATACTGACAAGTAGTAAGGGCATGCTGGAAGGGATGGGCCTCTTTGTATCCAGATGATTCTCCTGTGTTCTACCCCAGACATCATAAACATTTCTCATCAGTGTCAGTCAGTAACTCAAGGTGAAGCTTGGACCTTTGCTGAGATCCATGTGGAAATCAGTAACCTAAAGAATGGGTGGGGATAGGGAGATATAAGGGAGGGAAAAGAGAAAGCAAGTGAATAATTCTTGATGGGGTAGATGAGAAAATGATTTTTCAAAAATTCCTGCCACATTTTTTTTTCATTCCCAAGGTCAAGATAGAGGCAAAGTGGGATGAGAATAAAATCATGCTATTTTTCAGCTTCATTCTAGTAAGTGGGTCTTCAGCTTAAATTTAAATTCATTCTGATATCCAGGGATGTAATTTAAATTTTAATGGCAGTTTGGTATAAACATAATAGCCAATTATTCCCCTCACCTAAAGGCAATTTAATTAGATTTTTAAGTTTATTAATGGTTAAGTAATGATTTAACACATTAACCTTTTTCTATTGATGTTCCTCACTCTCATTTTGTGAATGATGCCAAGATCCAGGTTACTGGGCAATGGAAAATAAGATTGTAAACCCATTCATGTTAATTGATTTAGATACTCTTAATTTTATACTGGATTGCCATGGCTTGATCCTATGGAATCCTAGGGTTTGTAGTTTGGTCAGGGGCTCTAGAGAAGCACTCTGGCAGAGAATTCTGAATGCTTCTCCCTAAAATACAAATTCCAGGATCCATAGGATGTTTTCATGGCAGGTAAAGTAGAATTATAGTGCTACAAGTGTGTAGTATGAAAAGGCTCCTCTGTGGAGTAAGGGCCTTGGCAGACGGCTTAAAAAGCCATCCTGGAGGCAGGGAAGAGGAGGGGCAGCTGCACGCTCGGCGCCCCTTCCTCCTCCCGAGGTTGCCCACGGAGCTGCTGGCCCTCCGCACAGCCGGCACTTCGAGGGCAACCTCCCGCCGCAGCGTCCGGACATGCTGCAGTGGAAAAGTCAGTGAAAGTGCGCCGCAAGCTTTTGAGGTGCACTTTCACTGACTTGTGAAAGGAACACTATTTTAGTGCTCCTTTCAGGGACGGGGAAGGTGCGCAGCAGGATCGAGGTGTGGGGATGCCTCGGTCCCATGGTGCACCTTCCCAGGGCAGCCCCATGCCACCAGTCTGCTTCCCCCCTAAAGCATCTTAAAGGGTGTAGTCTTTTCATTCACTATCCAAACAAACCAATCACTTGCAAGATTTGTTGTAAAATCTGCATGTTAATCTTTTCAGTTGGTGAAATGATACAATTGATTTTATATTCAAAGTAAACATTTTTGGCACCATTTCTGTTATTTACTAGTTTGAGTTTTGTTTAGAGAATCTTTGGTAATTTGGCACCAGATCTGTTAGTCATAGTAGGCATTTGTAATTTTGACCACAAGTTATTTAACACAGAGTTTGTACTCTAGAGAATCTCAGCAGTCTTTTTCAAAACAAATATATTCTGAGCTTTCATTTCTATAGCGATATTTGTGTTTATGAAAACAGTATCTGCAAAAGCTTCTAGTGTTTTGAGGGCAGGCTGTAATCTTCAATGGCATGGCCTATGGTCAAAGTAATTAAAATTCAAAGACCACAACTGCATTTCATTTACCTTTTCCGTTGCTCCTCCCAGCACTCTTCTGTTTACTGTAAATTCCAAATAATGATTTTTTTAAAAATGGATTTTATAATACAGTAAAACATTGTAGTTATGTCAGCTTGGGAAATGTAACTGCATTTACATAAAAAGTCATGTGCTGCATAATTCATGATGAATACAGTTTTTGTATTTGTTTGGCACTGAATGTGAATTTCTGCATTAGAAAAAATAAATAGCTGAACCACTGGTTGGATCTTTCTCTCTGTGTGTGTCTTAACAATTTTTAGAAAAAGAAAAAGTGAAATGGAGTTACTTTAGTTGAAGTCTTATACCCTGACAGTTGGTAAGCTTGGGGAGTTGGTAAACCTGGGGAGATTATATTCCAAACAGTGACACTCACACACCTCTGGACTCAGCTGTTTAAATGACTGGAAAAAACAACAGCAAATGGATACAGAGCCCCATGTCAGCAAGTACATCATGCAATCTGTTAGCTAATTTGGTGAGTGAATTCCACCTTGCTTCCACACAAACATCTTAGATCTGTTCAGCTGGCAACCTGAGCCTTGTTTTATTGAAGTAGTAAAAATCTGAGTCTGAGCTTGGGCATTATTTTTTTGAGATTGATGCTGGAGGCTCTTATGACAGAATACTTCTCCTTACAAAAATGTCTTCTAAACAGAAAATGCGAGTACCTGTGAGTAGAGTGTTTCTTTGCTGTTTTGTTTATGTATTCAAATATGTCTTTCCTTCAGACTTGAGAGTCAAGGGTGCTTGAAAGATAAAACAGGTGAGATAAAAACAGACAGAAACACAATAGAAATAAAAAGCAATTTAATAATACATCAATAAAAATTACACCAGTCTATCTAAAGCTCCTTCCTCAGATGCCAATCAAGTGCTGAAAGCATGCTGGACATCACATTTTCTCTGTTTCCTGGACAGAGTGAATATTTATGTAGAGAGTAACATGATTTTTAGTCCATGTGGACTTCTACCTGAAGAGTCTGAGGTGGCAGAGCCTAAACACAGGGTTCCACCTTAACAAGGTCATGGTTAGTTAGAAGGAAAGGGATGCCCTTTATCATATACCTGTTTTCTAAAAACATGGGGAATAAATAAATAAATAAATACTGTTACATCATTTTCTCCATTCTAAGCTGACCTTGAGTAAAAACATACCCCCTTTTAAAAACAAAACAGCCAACAGTCTGTCTGTCTGTTTGTCTGTCTAGCCATCCAGGAAGCCAGTGTGGCATAGTGGTTTGAGTGTTGGACTACGACTCTGGAGTCCAGGGTTTAATTCCCTGCTTGGCCATGGAAACCCACTGGATGAGCTTGGGCAAGTCACATGGTCTCAGCCTCAGGGGAAAGCAATGAAAAACTTCTCTGAACAACTCTTGCCAAGAAAACCCCAGGATAGGGTCACCATAAGTTGGAAATGACTCAAAGGCACACAACAAGAACAAGAACAAGAACAAGAACAACAACAACAACAAAGACACCCCCCGACGAGTCGGGAGGGGTTTCTTGTTGTGCTGGCCAAATAAGGACATGAGATGCCTGGTTGGTCAAAGCGTGTAGGGGAATGAGAACACCTGCATGCTTTGTCTAATCAGGTTGTTTGGTTGCTACTCTAAGTCTCGCAGTGGTACTGGTCTCATGAGACTTGGGGTGAGAATTTGTTCTTTATAGCTCTGTGCTGCCATGTGGAGGCAGCCATTTTCGAGCTTGAACTGAGTGAGTAACATCACTCAGCTCTTTGCTTTGGCTTTTGGCTTGGCTTGTGCCTAGCGCTTCCTCGTGGCTTTTGGCTGCGTTGTGGTTTTTTACTGATTTCTCTTCCTTTTACAAGTGGGAGTGTTCAGGTATTTTCCCTGAGCATCCCGGTGGATTGAGCAGGGCCTTTGGGCCAGTCCTCTGGGCCTGCTGGGGCCTCTGCATCCCCAATTCTCAGGGGTTGTACATCCAAGGAGGGCCCTGCGGCAGGCATCCTCACTGGGTGCATGGACCCGATACTGGATGCAGTCCCAGCGCTGCCCCAGTGACCCCGGTCTGGTAAGATCGGGACCTTATCACTGGTTGGGAGGGTTGTTGCACTTCTCCCCAGCGGTGAGTGGGTTGGAAGATGGCTGTCTTCGGTTTAGGGCTCTGCATAGGACCCTTGGTGGACACCTTTCCCCCTGGTTGGTTGCCAGTGACACTTCCTGGCTGTTTGTGTCTCGTGTGAGACTTGGGAAAAGGCGGCCATTTGGCCTGCTGGTAGTCATCCAAGGTTGGGTGATTTTGCTTTGGCCCATGTTCCATTCACTGAGGAAGGATGCCATGCAGTAAGGCCCAATCTAAAAGGCATGCAGCTGTGGCTGCACCCAGCTCTGGTCAATCTGCTTCGAAAAGGCCTTCCCAGTCTACCAGCAGAGATGATGAGATTACTGTCCAGTTAGCACAACTGGGCAAAATAGTTCAGGCTTGTGTCGCTCTTTGCAATCAACTTGCTCAGAAAGGGCTACAGGCTACAGCCACCAGCCCTATTGCTGGTGCTTCTGGTACCACCAGCACAGAAGTGCTGCTTCCTTCCGTGGCATCTGATGCTCAGGTGATGGATGCTACACCGGGTCCTTATGTGATTTCGGTTGTGGAGGCTGGGCACCCCACTATTGCCGACGTGTGGGATCTCCTGAAAAGAGTCCCTGGTGTGGAAGCTCAAGATGCGTCTGCCCCTGTGTATGAGCAGCCTACTATGGCTGATTTATATAATCTCTTACGAGGAGTGGTTCTTCCAGGTGCTGGTGCAATGGAGCAGACCCGTGAAGCACAAAGAGGTGATCAAGGTGCTGCTGCCTCTTCAGTGTTTGACACCCTATCTGTTGCGGGGCCACACTTTGGGGGACTGTTGCGGTCAGCTGGTGATGCTTCCCAGCAAGCTTCTGTTTCAGGTTTGTATCCTAATATTGCACATGTTAATTGGCCTGCCTCGGTATGGGCTCCAGGTGGCCAGGTTGG